AGAGGAGAAGCGTCGGGGATACTCTAAGGAGAATCTTGGGGAGATCTATGAAGAGAATGACTACAAGAATATCATAGCTTCTTTCTACAGGTTCCAGTACTAGATTTGGGACAGATCAAGTATAGTCTCAAGCGAAGTTGGCGTAAGGTGCATTTTATTACAAAAACTAAGAAAGGGCAGGAGTTTTGCTACATCGAAAGCACGTAGACTCTTGGCGGCTACTAGTGGGTGAGCGGGGCCATTTTCTTACAAAGTTAATAGTTTTTGAGGGGGGTCCGGGGCCATTCTTCAAGAGGGCTTCAAGGGAAGACTTGGCCAAGAGTTCTAGCGAAGTGAGAAAGAAGGGCTCTAGTTGACCAAGATAGGGCGTAGTCGTACTTTTCTCCAGAGCTTCGCTGATCGTGCTTGCACTCATTTGAGACATCGCCTCGTCTCTAAGTGGCCGCTTCGGCGCACGAGGCTGGGACTGTTCTCCCCGTAAGTCATCCAAGGCAGCAGCGAACTTGCCTTGGTTTTGTCGGCTTCCCTTTGGCCCCATGGCAAAGCGACGCCATCCAGATGCCGCATCCGATACGGGTTAGCGCATCTGTTTGACGTTATTACTCATGCGATGCGCTGGTGGAGAGTCCCACGCTCCTGGATACCACTGAGTGAGTATTTGGACAGCTCGTAGCTCACTACTGCCCTGGTCGTTGAGTGCATGCATTTCAGTCCTGAAAACAGGCTGCTCGAACTCCTCTGCGAGACTATCCGGATGCTCCCAGGGAGTGAGATCCATAGCATCGATGGCTGTGCTCGGTGCTCGGCGCATGACGCTGGGAATCTCCTTGCCGAACAACAGCTGCAGAAACTCGTGATATGCTGCAGTGCTATACTTGGTAGACTGGAGAATGTGCCTTCCCTTCAAAAGGGAAGTCTGCCCATCCTGCAACGGTAGGGGCAACCAGTGAACCTCCTCCACTTCACGACCATCAGAAGGAGCAACATCATCTGCATAAAGCAACTGGATTAGGTCAAGGCTATGGGTAGGGAGGTTGTAAGAAGAGGGCAAAGTGAATGTAGTAAGAAGGCGCTTAGTACTTCAGTAGTTGACTTGATTAGATTCCCATCGAAGTTGAGAAGTGAAAAAGGTCGATCTACTTTGGCGCTCTTATCTAACAGGGCGCAACTCTATTAAAGGAAACAGCATAAAGATAGTGCATTTCCTCCCCAGACATGGATGCTTCTTGCGGACGGTATTGAAATCGTACCCGAGCCAGAACTGATTAAACGTGCTGCCTCGGGGGAAGCCAGTGCGCTCGTGAATAAGCTCCAAGCTTGGAGAATCCAGGCACTCCATCACACGGAGAGCAAGAAGCGAATGGGTCCACATCTGCAGACGCTGGCCCTGCTCGATTAAGGTGAGGGCTTAAAGTTGTTTTCTGTGTATGGGATGCGTCTTCAGTCTGCAGTGAGATAAGAAAATACCTAAGAAGGTTTCACCATGAGAGAAGACGAAGAAGCTCGCTTGTCCTAACCTGTAAAACAAGCTTCCCAGGGCCTTTTCCTAAGGCGTTCCCACCCGTTTTCAGTGCGTTTTTGATGTATTCCTCCAGTTCTGTGATCTTGTCCAGATAGTTATCGACTGTCAAGTCCGCTAAGACCGGACGAAATGGCGCCGCCGCAGTCAACTCCTTGAATTCGTTCGGTTTATGGATTTACCGGCGCAGCAAAGCGTGGACCTTTAGGGGAGAAGTCAACTGAAGGCATCACGTTCACGATGAGAAACATTACTGAAGGAGAGGAGCTCTGAGTCGTCTTCTGCTGTGTAAACAAACCTACAAGAAGAAACCATTAGAGTGTCACCGTTTCCCATACTAGTGCGCTACTATCTTTTCCTATGTAGAAATATAGGAAGAATCTAAAGAAACATAAGCACGAGGGGAGCTGCTCCACCTACAGGCGGGATCTCCGGCATGACTATGCCTTTCGCACCAAGCTCACGCTTCACCTTCTTAGCGTGGAAGGCGCTGCCGTTGCCTGCGTTGGGAAGTACCCAGCGCAGTTTGAAGGAGTAAGCGCCTGTGATCGGGTCTGGCTTAACCGCATGCCAGGGAACGATATCACGACTGCGAGTGTTTGGCGCACCACCAGGAGCCTTCCGGCGGGGAGCTCCCTCGGCGAGAGCCAGTGCGTTACTCATTCTTGTTATGGGAGGCCCTTCAATGAAAGAGCATCTTTTGACAGTCTAAAACAGGACCAGAATCCGGCGCTTCGCGGCTAGCTTTCTTGCGTGGTTTCTTTTCTACTTATTTTCTTTTCTTCCCTTTTCGATTTTACGACGGTACTCACGATTTTCGATTTCATTTCTGTCTTCTTTTGGCGCCTCTCGTACCCTCGTGCTTCACTCTCACAAAGCGGGAACACGACGAGAGCGAGGCGAGAGCTCCTTATCCTGGCGGCTATCTTTTCGACAATGGCGAATCAGTTTTCTTTATGGAGAAACGTATGTTGAAATCTTGTGATGTCGTCGCAATAACCGCCGCAGCGGTTTCAAAGGTTGAGGCACTGACTTCAAGGTTTATAGTTGTAGCACAAAGCCCCTCAAAGAAAAGCACACACTACAACAAAAACCGACTGAATTAGATAGGTCCCCAAATGCCAACGAGTATAGTGCTAACTATGTCAGAGACAAGTGAGGTAGGGAGAGAGATGGCCTAAACACGACCGAAAATAGTACATATGGACAGTGATCATAGTCGACGACTTGCCTCCTAGTATGAAGATGGTGGAAAGTTGAGTAAATATATGAAAACTACTCAAATCATTGATGAAACAGGACTAGAAATTACTTGTAAATAATATTAAGTCTTTCTTATTTCAATGGTGTAACTTGTAGTATGTAAAAATAAGTCGCTAATGTCGTTGGAGTTGGTCCAAATGAATGTCAGCAGCTAAATCGTTAGAATTATACTGAAAGCCACGACCTAAGTCGTCTCAGCCTTTCATATCATCAAGAAGCTGGTGGCTTCTCATCGAGAGACGGATAACCTTCTAAAGTAAGTAGTTGCGAGCTGTCTTCTAATTCTCCCCAGCCTCCCGAGGGGCTTAGTCCTGCTTGGAGTTGCCCTTCTTGGCCATCTTCTTGGCAGCCTTCTTCGGGCGGGCAGCGCCGTCCCCGCCATTCGCATCGTCATCACCGCCACCATTTCCGTTGTCTTTGGCATCACCATCAGCATCATCTGGCAGCACATCATCCGGCGCAGGGAGAGCCGGCATATCCGGCAAGGCCATCACGTTGGCACCGGAAGAGGAGCTGCTCGAGGCACCAGCACAGGACTCACCCATTGGAGCACCTCCAAAAACTTGGGACATGGCCTGCGGATGTTTTTGTTATGGATTGGAGATGTAAGCCGGGGCATTTGAGTGGTATATAGAAGAAGTTCATGTAAGAGCAACTCTTTGCTCCAGGGTGAAACTGTTCTGCAAGCCTATACTACTAGAATCACCGAATAAATAGGCGTCTAATAGTACTCCAGTCAGCGCAGCGAAGTTGCCCATAGAGTTGCCTCCATTCTCGGACGAGGAGGAGCCACGGACGGAGCCCAACAGTCCAGACAAGCTGCCAGAGGTCAAAGAGGGGGAGGCCGTGCTCGCCGGGGCATTGGCCAGGGCCAGCAGGTTAGCACCTGGGCCACCGTTTCCAAGAGCAAGCTGGCCTCCACCTTTCTGCGGATTCAGTTGAGCCAGCGACTTCGTGAAGAGTTCACCAGCCGAAACCGTGCGCACTCCGGCGGCGCTCGGCAAAGCATCATAGTGGAGGCGCAATACAGTCCAAGAGAATTCGTTCACAAGGTGCTTGCCCGAGGCACGCTGGTGCTTCGCCGGCGGTAACTGGGACAATTTAAGGGAGAAGTTGCAAGTGATAAGTTTAAAGATGTGTAAGTAGAGTGTCAGACTCTCAGGGTGAAGTGTGTTGTTCTGATAAGGGTGCTCGTCTTCAAATTCTGAATGGTCTCGACTAGGTTCTCATCTCACGTTATAGCGTAGACCAACTCAATGCCCATCAATTTCTAACATAATCAATATAGAAAAGTAGCGCTTTTAAGTCGCCACTCCCCAGCGATTTCCGAAAGAACTGAGACTGCGCGTCCTCTGTCACCTTCATCATGGCGCTGGGCTCACGTTCCTTCGTAACCGAGGCCAGCAACTCAACAAACTCCGGGCGGCTCCGGTCGCGGTAATCTGAAGTGATCGACTCAAGATGATCAGTCTCACAGGAGTAGATAGTGCGTTTTTGATTAACAAATATGCTATGGCTCTAATCTTTGTGCCATGTTGTAGCTCAGCTATGGCGTTGCGTCTTTCTAGTAGAAACTCATCTGTTTAGGTACTCACTCATCGCCTTAAGTATTTGCGTCATATAGACAGGCTTTGTCCACATAGCTGGTGCGCGGCAGGTTATCCGGATCGGTGTGGCCTCCTTCTTCAGCGATCAGCTTGGCCTTGCGACGTTCCAGCACTTTGATCTCCAGTTTGACCGATTCAATCGCGAGAGTATCAGCGCGAGCAACTAGCTCAGCCTCGTAGTTGGGGACTTGCTTAGCAGCCTTGGGGCGCCCCATTTTCTTGTTGCAGATGTTGATAGGCAGCCTTTTGGTTATTATCTTCATCTCCCTCGACGAGATACTAAACGAAATAGATGATCCTCCAAGCAGGTGAAGCCGTTCAAATTCGTGCAGTTCTAGATCTAGTTCGCCTGCTCCTAGAGATGACACATAGTAGCACCGAAATTCGCGAGCAGGATCCGACAACGTCACGCAGGTTTGCTCTCAATTTGCGGCTTGATTCTTGCGATCTAGAACCCATCGAAAACAACCTCCAGAGAGCACATTCTTGATAGTCCATCTCCCCGGTGTGCTGCCTTCAGCGAGGTCTACTAGTCGCCAACTTCAAGCCTTCAAAATCGACAGAATCTGATGGGGGTTGTCGTCCTGTAATATGCAAGAGCGTCAGCATCTGTTCCTTCTGGAGTTCAAGTAGAGTAGTCTTCTTCTCCCTTAGGGCGACCTTTTTGCGCGAAACCGTTCCGAGGCAAGGCCGTGGACCTGGTCACCAAAGGGTCCTTCATTTGCTTCCCAGAAAGCCGCGGTCTGCTGGCCTGCTGCTGGACCGATCTGCAAGCCCACCTCCAGAGACCATACCTCACATCCTGCAGTCCAATCCTGCAGCCTTAACCACCTAAATTAACTAGCTATTTAGACCTACTTATCTTTAACAGACGAATTTTCTAACTAAACCCAGAATAATTTTCTAACCTTGCCATAGGAACTGCGTGCTACAGACGAAAAATTGAAGGCAGCGAAGTCAATCACGCTGGCGCGAGCGTCTGTTGGTGGGGGGTGAATGAAGCTCCACACTTGGGAGAATGGGTGGGACTGAGCTTAGAGGCTCGGCTCAACGATACAGGGCGAACAAGGCTGGCACACAAACGCGGAAAGATGTGGGCTGCGAAGCGCGCGAGATATAGAAAAGAAATTCCTCCACGTGGTTACAGTCAATATTGCCGCCTTCCGCTGAAGCGTGTGGAGAGCAAAGATTCCTCGAATGTGTACCGTGTAAAAGGGACGACGCTGCTATTAGATGACGTCAAAAACGCCGGGCACATTTCCCGGGATGTCGCGTCTGCTGCCTTCTTTATTGTCGCTAGACCCGGGCAAGCCCGTCGAATTTGGCCCATTTTTGAATCTTTTATGGAGGTGTAGATGATAGGCCACGCTCGCAGGTGTTGCGAGCTCCGGTCTTCTTCCCATTTGTAAGCACCACTTGATGCATATTGAGAGAAAAACAGCATTCGCGTTCAAATCTCAATTTTTTTTTCCAGTGGGGTAACGCGTGCAAGATCCTGCGCGCGCAATGATGGGCCATGTAGCTAGTGAAAGCATGGGCCCGAAGAGTCCCCACACAGGACCACACGCCGCGCAACACCTCAAACCGGGCGCCACCACTTGCCCACAGGTGAATGGCCCACAAATGCCACAAATGCCGGACAGGCGCGCCGATTGGTTGTGGCTTGTCTTGCAACCGCGTGGCAGAACCAAATGGCGAGCAAACTGAGGGTCGCCCCGTCATCCCTCGCATGTGGTTCGGCTCATCGCCTGCCGCTCCTCAAGAGTTGGGGCAGCCCTCTGCGGCCCGTTGTCTAAGCTAGCGCGCTGCGTGCCGCAGGTGGTAGCTGCCGTACCTAAAAACAAAAAAACTTTTGACTTTTGAACGCGAGCGCTCTTTTTCTTTTGATAATGCAGCCGACTGAAGTTGGTGGCTTAAGGTTTGGGCTTCTGGTTATTGGTCGCGCCGTTGGCAAGTTGTGCCCCTTTCGTCAGTGTCTGGCCGCGTCGTCCGAGGGTGCGCCCCTTTGTTTGCAAATGACGCCGCAGCGAAGACAGGGGGCGCCGTCTCTCGGAGAGTCATACCTACCTACGGAGCAAGTGTGTCGCCTTTTTTTTCCCGGAGGCAGGGTGTGCCAGTCTTCGTTCGTATTGTTGTGTGCAATACGCCTCGCCTTTTGCCAACAAAGCTGGCCGACCAGTCAGATCTTGCGCCAACACGTCGGGCCGTGCTTCCAGAGCGTGTTGGCCCCTAGGTGTGGTGTTTCCGCCATATAATCACCCAGCTCGGCGATGGCCACCGGTGTCGGCGTTCGTTCGCGTTGGGTGTGGCAAGAAGCAAGACACCTGCGCAGCGGCTTGCGCGTTGGTAGCATCTGAAAACACCACCTGGCGAGACGTGGCTCCTTTCGATCGGGAGCCGTGTGCTTGCTGCGGAGCTGCGCCTCTGGAGTGGGGGGTGCCTACTCACCACCGTGCCCATCGCTGGGCCCGTGTTGCGCTGCGTGTGTCGCATTGTCATAGCAGGTGGGCAGCTTCCTCGCCGTTTGTAATGTGTGGCGCCGTCGGTCTTCTCTGGTGCCAATCAGTGGGAGGCGCTTGCCGCTATTGGGGCCATTTGGATGGTTGGAAAAATGTGAAGAGAAGGCCCCGCGAGATGAAGCCGGGAGTCCATGGAAAAACCACCATGGCCATTAGCAGCCGACGCAGTCTCATCCTACCGAGAAGAGGACTGAAGCCAAGCTCCGCACTTGTGTGTGGGGTCTCTGTGCCATGTATTCGGGTGTGGGGTGTCGTCTCTACCCGTTGGCCAGCAGTCGCCGCACACCTCCGCAGGTGCGGTGGCATCGGGTGCAATGGGTTCCAAATAGGGGCAGCCCACGTCCCTGGGGGTGGCCGAGGCGCTCAGCACTATGGCTGACCCGCTTTGTCATGAGACTGGCCCGGGCCAGTTAAAGACTCGGGGGATTCCACTGGCAGAAAATGAAGGGGGAAGCAGCGGGGCAAGTGATTGGGACGCAGGGTGTGTGGTTGTTTCTTTGCTAAGCTCTTCTGGGTCGTTAGGGTCGTGGGGTGTGCTGTCTGTTCATAACCGGAAGAGATTCTGAACAGACGCCAGGCCGCCGCTTGTTCTTTTTTCCAACTATGGCGCGCCACTCTTATTGGGGGTCTTCGTAGTTCTCCTTGTGTGTTTGCAGCTTCAGCACTTGACGGGCGGAGCGTGTCCCCCATGCATTAAGACGCCTGCTGCGTACCGCACTGCACAGAAAAAACCAACTCCAGTCGCAGCCTGACATGCGTGAATGGCTTTTGCTTTCATTTGTTTTGTGGCGAAGAAGCTGCCGTCTTTCTACAGCGCGTCGCTCGTCCTTCAACAGATGATGAAGAGCCAGGGCGCCGCCACGGCTCCAGAATATGTGGGGCATTGGGACTTTATAGAGAAATTACTCGACGAAGGCAGGAGGGCAACATCGGCAACATCCAACGCGACGGCAATTGACACAGTCTGTTTTGATGCTCTTGCGCGGAAAATTTATCCGTCGCCGCCGAGCGCAGCTTGGCGACCTCTATTTCTCAGCGCAGCCGCGCACGTTTTGGGGTGCCCAAGGCTGACAATTGTGCCAGGCTCCATCATCGTGGAAACCAGAGCAAGCGCGAACACGCGTCGGCTTGCAAACGCCGACGACTTCGAACGATTTCTGCGCGCTCATCCTATATCGTTGGGCAGAGAAATTCTGGTCATCGATGCCGCAAAAACATCGACTGCTGAGATGGTGTGTATGACAATGGCCGCAGGCTATGTCGTGGCCACACATGGGGCGTTCGTTGAAGCGGCAGCGTCGTTCATGTCTCGGGGCTGCGTGCTCGTGGAATACGTGCATACGAGCAGGGCCGCACACTTTGGCTCCAGCGCTGTGTCGTATGTGCATTGGATGGCCAAACACCTTTCGATCGGTGTGCGAGAGGTTCGCTATCCATTAGACGACGCAGCAGCTTCTTTCTTTGACTCTGTCCGTCAGATTGGAGAGCACAATGAGCGGGCCCTCAAGCCTGGAAAGCCCGCCAAATTTGAGAGCATGACGAGCTCGCCCTATTGGCGAGCCCATGAGGCAAAAATAAGCGACCGTGTGAACTTCACGTGGGATGAGGCCCGCGACTGGGCCCCATTAATCCCAGATGGAGTCGGCCTTTCAGCCTTTCCGGCCTTTCGCCACCTTGTTACCTAGTCACGCACTGTCTCTGAAGTCTTCAGGAAATCTCAGCCCGAACACAAGCGCCCAGCCAGAGCGCGTTCGTGATGATCGCCACACAACATGGACAAAGCCGATGAGACCTGATTGGCGAAGAAGTCCCCGCTCAAAATTTGACAAAAAGACTCGCTGTGTGTCCCTTTCCAGATCCCCACGCGTCTTCTCTAGTTTGAAACGACGAAAAAAGTCGAGAAAGGTTGGGCGCTTTGTGATAGATTTGCCAGGAAATTATTGATAAGCAGCACTGACTGCGGCGGCCTTGCGTTCTTGTGGCCGATTTCTCAGGGTTGGGCGATGGGTGGCCTCTTTGTTCGTTTCTTGCTCTTGCTATTGAAATGCCCCCTGGATACTCTCGGCCCCCTCGGTCGTATTAGATAGAGCTAGACTACCCTCGGCGCCAGTGCTTTTGGATGGAATTCAGCCTGAGACGTCGCATCCGCCAACGATGGACCACCTCGAGGGTCACGTCAGGAACTGCTGCCCCGTTGCAGAAGCGCCAGCTGTGGTGACCAGAATTCCGCCAATTTCTGTCACTCCAGTTCCCGTCTTAGCCAGCGATCTGCTCGGGCCAAAGCAGTCAGCAGTGGCGCAGATAAACCTCCCGCGAGAGGCGCAGCTGGGGTATGGGTTCATAGTCGTGGAGCCGACAGCAAGACTAATCGCAGAGGGAGGCTGGTTCGCGCCAGTCTTCGCGCGTCAGTGCGCTCCTGAGGTCATAAAGTTCAGTAAGGCGCCGCCTGTGCAGCTCGTGCTGCACAACGAGTCCGGAGACTACATCGCGCCAACACTGGAGGGCGACGAGTTCGCGGCCAAGGTGTGTCGGGGGCCCGCCATGGCTCAGCACATAGCAGAACCAGAGCAGGTCGCGGAGTACATGCTGAGGCAGGGACACAGTGTGAAGGTAACTAATTTGGAGAAGCGCCAAGCGTCTCGCGCGCAAAGGGCCCCAGACGCAGTCACGAAGTTGCGAGCACGATTGCGGGAGCTAAGCGACAAGGACGACTCACAGGTAGCAGGCGAGGAGCTAGAGGCGTTGGTCGTCAAGAACTACGAGTCTCAGTTTCCAGAGCAGCTGTCGAGGGAGACGGGCACGCGACTCACCGCCTCGGCGGCGCATCGGTGAGGGGCATATCATTCACCAGGAAGGACGAAGCCGGTGATCGAAGGTGCTGAGGCCAGGTGGGCGCTTGCGCCAGGTGCTGAGCCATTCGTCGGCAGGGCCATCGCGCTCGGGGCCTACGACACAATGGCGATGACGCGCCACGTTCTCACGACAGTAAAGGCCGGTCGTGACAGGCCATACGACAAGGCATTAGCGACAGAGATCGGATTGCCGCTCGGAATATCCACAGGATTCCTAGCGCCGAAGCCCGACGTGAAGAACCCAGCAGGAAAGCCAGAAAAGCGCGTAGCAATCCACTACAAGGATCACAACGAAAACACGCTGGGACCTGTGTGGTACACGAAGCCGCGATCTGTGACGTCGATAATTCGTCGCCTTAAATTCGGAAAAGGGCGCATCCTTCGGCTTCTCCGGATTGCGTGTGTCACCACAGGCCTCGCGCCTAGTGACGTGGCAGCCCAACGTGTCGGCAGTGCCGTTGCTAGCGCCAATAGGCTCTACGCTTGGTGCCAAGCAGCTGCCACCCCTGTTCAACGTGGAGACAGACACGACCTTCGGCCAGATGGCGCCCGGTTCAAGCGAAAAGATCTTCGAGACGTTCGTAGACGACATAGAAGCATGTGGCGACGACAGATTCGCTCAGGTCGCGGTCGCTTCCGCGGTGCCAGGCCTGACGATCCCAGAAATCCCAGTGCTGCTCATAGATAGCCCACCGCTTTCGATCGACGAACCAGAGATCGTCCCTGACAGTGAGCAGCAGCCACGATCGATGCCGGGCATTCCATTCGACTTCATCGGTGGCAAACAGTACAGATACAGCGCGGAAAAAAGCAAACAACGAATAGAGCTCCAGAAGCAAGTCTCCGAAAAGGTCGCGCGTAGCTCGTCGGCCAGCGCAGGCATGTACGCGACAGGTTTCGACATCTCAGACTCGCGGAAGACAGCTTCTGTCCTTCCGAGAGAGCCGGTCTGCGGCCCGGTAATTCCCGACGGTGCGTCAAGAGTATCGGTCCAAATCGTGCAGGATTTTGCTACGGTGTGTTGGGAGGATCATTTCGCGAGTGCGACGTGGGCTGGGCTGATGTCGATAACAACGCGCGACCTCTCAGGTAAGGCGCTCCATGTGTTCACTCCAGGCGGTGAGGCCGCTGCTGTCGTGCCAGTGTCAGGAGAGCGACGCAGACCTGTGCCCATCGTGGTCACGTGGACTTTCGCAGAGGGTACGAGCATCAAGCATGAACGTGACAACTTCAACAGCCGTGTGCTCTTGGAGGGCCAGCGCGTTGACGCTGGCGGCCGCTTGTTGACCGCAGCACTGCTAAAGAGTTTCCAGCTTTCGCTGGAGAAGAACCAGGTCGCGGAGTTAGAGTCCGCCAGGCTAGGTCTTCGCCGCCCCGAGTGTGGCGGAGAAGCGGTTGGCGAGAAGGCTTTAATGAAGCTCGACCACATGAAGTGCGTCGCCACTAAGGAGTCGATCCAGGGCCTCATAAATTCGACTGCGTGGGAAGGCATCCGGGACTACCTATATGCGTGCGTCGAAGTCGCGCATCACTTACGTTGCAAAGAGAAGCTCCCATGAAATGGATCGCCGAAAGTTGCCGAAAGTCTCCGAAAGTTCACCTGGCAAATGTTGCTCTGATAGATTAGGCAAAGCCAGTAGCGTGACGACGGCGGCGGCTGTCCGTCAGTCTGTTGGCCTCCCTTGGTCTTGGTTGCTTTGTTTCAAGCAGTGAGCTGGGGCCCCGTCCTTCTTGTTTAGCTTGTTCCCTCTGCACTCAGCCACCCCTTTCCTTTCGTTGGTTCTTCCTCCTTCCTTCGTTCCTTACTACACACACAAAGACACCTATTTTTTGTTTTTTGAGAACTTAGTTTTTACAATCAGAACTCCACTTTTTACCTCTTCACCATGTGAGCTTAGTTCTACCTTGTGGACGCAACATCTGAGTCTCGACATAGTAGCCTAAACAGTTAACAGTGTACTACCGATAGGACAAAGTAAAGAATGAACTCAGCATAAATCTGTTGAAAGTTTTGGTTCGCTTAGCATATAAGAATAAAATAAATATTATATTGGAACGGCACAGTGTATAGCCTCTCCCCGGTGAGTCCTAATGAGGCCCCTCCCCTCTCCCTTGGTCCACTGAAGACAGATAATTATTCACAAATATGTTAAAGTAGTATAACTAATTTAACGTCGGAAGTCCTAACACCCTCACACTAACAGGCATGGAGAGCGACCAAAGCCTCGCAGAGGTCAGAGGCGTTCGGTTGTGACTAACTTAAAATGATGGCTTTTTTTTCCACAAGTGGGAACATTGCCTTGCAGAGGTCCAATAGTTCTCCTATTTAGCAGATCTGGAAGGGCGTAAAGAGAGCGAATAAATCCTCGCAGAGGTTATACGAGTCCGCCATGACTAATTTATTAGGATAGCGGATCTTTTCAAAAGTAGGAGCGCGGCCTTGCAGAGGTCTGATGGTTCTCCTGATGTGTAAATTCGCAATAGAACGCTTACCCCGAACGATGACCCCTGGGCAAGGAGAAGCACTACTGCTGAACGGTTGAAGAGCGAAGTGCCAGGGCAGAAAGGGATAAGCTGTACTCGTTCAATAACGCCCTGGGGAGTAACCAGGTGCGATAACATGTCCTTTTTTACACTTGTGGTCTTGAAGCTTATTGTGATCCAATGTAACAATGTTGTCGATGTCGGACATGGTCATAGACCAGTGACTCCTCGGTACTTACGTCGTTCTGTGCATCTTCATGTGCGCTCCCTTCTGTCCGTCGGCTGTCTCTTTGTCGGTTGTCCTCCTGGTCATGCCTGTGTGTCTATTCGTCACCTGATACTGATATCGCTGTGTCTTTGGCTTGTCGTTTTATCGTGTCCTTCTTGACGACGGTGTTCGTCTCTGTTTTTCGTGCGTCTATGTCGGTTTTGGAATCGGTGTTGACCTTCTCTCTCCTTTTTCCTGCTCGCTTTAGTGATGGTTTTTCGTTGTTCCCTCCCTCTCGTGGCTCGGTACGCCGTATGCTTTTGCCTTGTTGATTTCGGTCTGTTCGTGTCGTCGTTTATACTTGCTTTGCGTTTCCTACACGTTCTTGCGTCCCCTCTCCCCTCATTTCCCGGATAATGGCTACACTCTTGTTTGATGTCTAATGTTTAATGATGGAGTTCATGTTTATGACTTGGCTTTTTAACGGCTTTATTTACGTTGCATATGAGATCACATCTCAAGGATGGCACAGCTTTCGATAATCCATTACCAACCATTTAAAAAGGCCACCCCCATACACCCCCCTTACACACCCCTATACACCCCCCCTACGAAGCGCTCTCCGCAGCGTGTTGGGAGTCTGACAACCCCGGAAGGGATTCAAGCTGTGTTAGCCACTCGAAGTGCTAGGCGATCACGTAACTCCCCGCGTCGGGATGTGCTGCACTGCCCGTCGTATAATGTGGAGCGTGAAAGCAAGTTGGCGTAAGATGGCTTGACCTCGTGAGTGGTCCTATACATAAGCCTGAGATATACACAAGCCTGAGATAGACGCAATACGACCCTGGTCCAATACGACTCGCATAAGGACCCGGGGCACGCAGTATTTGGCTGATGACGTTGCCAAATATAGTGGTGCCCGAAATATAAGCGAGTCTGTGTGCCTGATGAAGGGGGAGCAGGGCCAGTAAGTGCGGATTCCGAATATGAATAGTTAGATAATTGCAGTTAACTTAGTAAATATTAACGTAGCATATGGCTTTCGATAGATAGGTTTCTATATCTGTTGTCTTAGGCATACCTTATCTAGGCTTTATGCTTCCTCGAAAAATAGTGTAGCTTACCTATGAAAAATACCTTCTCCTTCCTTCCCCCTTTTGCGCTTGACCAGTGAACCGGTACCCTAGAGTGGTCAAGCGGGTGCACAAAAGTGGGAGCAGAGCACTTCTTTGAGGCACGCACAGGCTCACGCCGCCGATGATGAGAAGACCTCTAGGGCTGACAGGACTTAGATGGCGCCTAGTTTATTCTAGATACGAACAACTAGAGTAAGGCTAATCTACAATAAGTAGTATAGCAAACCTTCTCACCAACAAATCCCAACACCCAAACAGCAGGTAAGACGATACACACAGATGCGGAACTGAAGAGTCTGCTGTTGGACTACATCTAGACTTCATGAAATAAGGGGCAAGTAGTAATAGTTTTCTCAACTACACACACAAAGACA